CGGCGGGGGAGCCGGAGCATTACTGACCCCCGCCACTGAAGAAGATTCAAAGTCATGGCAGGCGAGAAAGGGGCGGACTGCATCATGAGTAAACACCTCCTCGAAGGACCACCTGCAACAGCGGGATGGATACTGGTGAGCACCCGTATCAAAGCTGCGCGGGACAAGATGTTCGAGGCCAGGCAGGCACAACTACATTATTTTACTACATTTCTCATTACGAAGTGTCAAACGATAACACTCTACCCTGTTTTTTTTCTGTGGGTTTGGGGGGGTGAGGGGTTAAGATAAGGTACCTTGATTTTCATGTAATGCCACTTATTTACATACAGCTGAAAAATAAAGGCTATATCTTTGTCATGTATATAATGTCATACACACAAACAACCATGTCTTCATAAAATGATTTTCCACAAGAATTTTAAGTTTGTCATCTAATGCATTTCAATTAATTTTAAATAAAATAGAAATGTAGACCTTCAGCCACACTAAGATGCATGGAAAAGCAAATACAACTATTTGCAGTATATAATTATATAAGTATTGTTTTATACTGTTATTTGTTTTAAGGATAAGAAACTTCCGTTATTAGTTTAGTCAAATAAAACATTTACTTCATGATCTATTAACTAGACACAATACTCAAGTTTCAGTGGCATTACAGTATATGGCAGGGGGTGTCAACCAGGAGTACATGTACCCCTGGGGATACTTGAGGAAGCACCCAGGGGGTACGCAGCAGTGGCGCGAAGTGGGGGTCACTTCTGGTTCTGCCGCTGGCACACCCTGTTTCACCACTGCATACAGGAGACCCCCCAATCGTCGATCGGCTGCTGGGGACTCCCCCTTCTCAACTAGCCACTGGGGATATACCAACCAAAAAAGGTTAAAAACCCCTGTTATATGGCATGATGGTTACTTTGGATACTGTACATAAACATCTACTTCCAGACATAAGTCATCTTTCCACAGTTTTCCATTTGAGCTTTTAAACAAAGTGTAAATAATTTGGAAATGTATGAAACAAAATTAAAATCTTCGCTTCACTTTTGACATTGTTTCCACACACAATGAGAAGGTAAATTACCAAATGAGAAGGTATATTGAGTTAAAATAGACCTGAATCATGAGAATCTTTAATACCAAGCATGTATTAGTCAAAGCAAAATCAATTAACTGCACATTAGAGTAAATATTTGTGGGGTTAGGCTTGTGGTTACTAAATGTTAATACAGAGGAAAGCTGCTCAAGGTTATACTTTCCCTCATGAGGCTATATTCTTTTGTGGAAGCACTTGCAATACATTCTAGTTTGCAACTGGAGACTCCCCCCCCCCCCCCCCTGTCTCCAGCACCCTCCCCCCCCCCCCCCCCCATATTGCTACCAGGAAGAAAATTCTTATTTTAAAGCAATGTGTTTTCATTCATGAATAGTTTTTACTACACCTACATTTTAGTGCCTACATTATCTTTATATACCTTTCAATTAAAAATTGGTATGTTTGATGAAAGACTCTCTGGGTTGAGAAACACATTTGTCCAAGGTCTCAAACTAACTACATTTAGTACTAGAACAGTGAAGAAATACTTAAAATATATATATGTTTTTTATTTTTCTACTGACTTTTTACAAAGAAAAAATTGTTTGTCCTAGGTCTGGGTCAGCAACCAACAGTCTGCTGAACCATTTTATCTGGCTT